TGAAATTATTTCCAAATAAAATATTTAATTAAGAAAAAAAAAAGACCATGCCATTTCTGACTGGCTGTTTGTTTTCCATCACATCCATTTGGAAACTAATCACTATGTGGTGAGGACGCTAAGAGCAACATGGACAGGGCATGTGTAGATACTGGGGCTGACAGCCCTTGCTGACTTCCCAGATGGTAGCCAACATCAAGCACCAGCCTCAAGCATGAACGAGCCTACAGATGGTGCCAGCCCTTTGCCATCCTCCCAGCTGCCCAGAGCTAATGCCATGTGGAACAGATTCACTGTCCTCAGAAACCTTCCCCAAACTGCAGATTCATGAGCAAAATAAATGCTTGTTGCTCTTTTCAGCCACTAATTTTAGGGTTTTAGGGTTTTTTTTGTTTTGGTTTGGTTTGGTTTGGTTTTTGCTTTTTGCTTTTTGCTTTTTGCATAGTAAAAGGTAACTGGGGAAAAGTTACTTTTGTCTATGAACATTCTACACAAAAAGAGAATGACTTTGTATCTTTTTAATGTTTATTTCCAAGAGTGAAAGAGAGACACGCCCAACAGGATCTCACAGTGTCCGACATCACAATCCACGATCCCCAGCCTCAGCGAAAGACACGCCCAACAGGATCTCACAGTGTCCACATCACAATCCACGATCCCCAGCCTCAGCGAGCCCTAATTATAGACATGCGTTCAGTGTATACAAGGAGACGTGAGGTCAGGACCCAGGCACCCTCCCGTGTGGGTCCAGCATCCCATTACCACTGCACCACTGCAGCTAGCTCCAGAGAAGGGCTTTCTCAACCAACCTTGCTGTTAAGCACTGAGAGCATCTTTTGAGGTATCATTAAATTGTAACTTTGATTAGTTCAAGACTGACTTCATTTCAATCAGTCTCAATTAGAGAGGTTTTATTATAACCCCCAATGTCCAAATTACAAATTGGACACATCATTTGGTTAAGATTTTTATGCCACTTATGGGTTTAAGGGGCAATTTGAGAGATACAGTTTGAATACTAAAATGGAATGTCAGATCTTCAAGGGCTTATAGTATAAATTATTTGACATCAGAATTTTCTTGGGAAAAAAAAGAATTTTCTTAGAAGATTTAAAAATACATTTACATATATGTACCTATTATTAACATATAATTATTAACTATTACTTTCAGATGGGTAGTTATAAATGATAAATTATCATGACTTGTTTAAATATATATATATATATTATAATTCATTACTAATGTCAAATCATCTGTATATTACTTCTTGCAAATGAATCAGGCTATGTATGAACCTCATCAACACTGGACTTTTTTTTTTTTTTTGAGATATTTTCTTCTTTTTGCTGTAGAGCATGTGCACTTGCTAGAGAGACAGAGAGAGCCAGAAAGCAAGAAATCACCTCCTGGGGGAATGGCCATACTACAATCCCTTCTCCTCCATGCACGCACACGCACCTGGCCTGAGTTTCAAGCAGCCAGGTCCAGGATTCGAATCGCAATCAGCCATGTGGAAGTCCAACAATGTAACCATTCCGCCATCTGCTGGTCCCACCATCAGACTTTATTATTCTGCTGTAATACTGCATCACGTTTAACATGCAGATATGACAAGATTAGATACAAAGTCAGGCTACACGTTCTTTCAGATAGGTAGGACTCCATTTCTTCCTGCTTTTCATTTGTCTTAGTCCGTTTTCTACTGCTATAACAGATACCACAGTCTGGGTAATTTATCAATTATAGATGTTTATGTGCCTCAGAATCTGGAGGCTGGGAAGTCCAAGAACATGGCACCAGCATCTGGTAAAAGCTTTTACACTGTGTTATCCCATGATGCAAGGCAAATGTGAGACAGAGAGAGAAGTGGACCAAAATTCATTCTTTAGTCAGAAGCCCACACTCGTGATAACTAACTCACACGATAACAGCACTAATACATTCATGCGGACAGAGCCTTCACGACCTAATTACCTTTTTTAAAAAAATGATTTTGTTGTTTGCTATAGGGGATGTGCACTCATCAGAAAGAAAGAGAGATAGAGAAAGAGCAATAAAACACGTTCCAGGTAGAATGGCCATGCTGCAGTTCTTCCTGTTCCATTTTCTTAGGACTTCGCATACTTGCTTGGTATCTTTTCACGCTGTGCATCTAGGACTCAAACCTTCAGGTCTCCAGCTACCTTAACCACTGTGCCACCAGCTAAAGGGATCCAGCTACCTTAGCCACTGTGCCACCAGCTGGCCCCCTGAGTCCCACCTCTTACTATCACAATAGCAATTCCATTTCTTTTTCTTTTCTTCTTTTTTTAATTAAATGTTTTGGAGGGCATGGGCATGCGTGCTCACCAGAGAGACCGACAGAGGGAGGGGTATGTTCTTTATGTGGCTTGGTCTTCATGCAATCTCTTCTCCCTTTCTCCTTTCTGTAAGGATCTGGAGCACACATGCACACACATGCACAGTGTTTCTCAAGCCATTGGGTCCAGGACTTGAATCACATGGTTTGTGTGGGATCTGACCCCCTTAACCACCAGGTCATAAGGTTGGCTCCACAATTAAATTTCAACATGAATATTGGAGTGGCATTCAAACTATAGCATCAATTATCTTTCTTTCTTTTTATTTATTTATTTTTTGAGAGGTTTTTGCTACAGGGTGCGTGCACTTGCCAGATAGACAGAGAGAGACAGAGAGACAGAAAGTAAGAAATCACCCCCCAGGGGGGATGGCCATGCCACAATCCCTTCTCCATTCTCCTCTCAGGACCCTGGGCACACACACACACACACACACCCGGTGTGAGTTTAAGCCACCGGGTCCGGGACATGAATCGTGGTTGACTACATGGGAGTCCAGCGACACAACCATTAAGCTAACTGCTGGTCCCAGCATCAATTATCTTTCAAACAGCCTAATATTTGTGTGTAGTCCTCTTACCTTATTTAGGTTTTTTTTTTTTTTTTAGTTTTTTTTTTTTTTTTTTTTCCCTTAGGAATTTCTGACTTAGTCCCTGACTTAGCTGTTCAGGTGCCGTTTTCTTCTTAGTACTTCCAGCATCCCCTTTAATCATTACTATTTGATTTTGGATCCATGCCTTGCCTGACTACAAAGAAGTTTCCTGAGTCTTCATACTCTTGTCTTCTAACTGAAAGTAATAATGACTCTAGAAGATTTTAGAGGATCTTTTCTTCTATTCTTTTGTTTCTCTCTCAGGGCATCCTATCTTCATTTCTCTCCCTTCCCTTCTTTCACACTGAACACTTACCGCACCACCTCTGTGTCATGTAACATGCATTATGAAACAGGCAATATTTTGGGGTCCAGCCCAGCTACATTTTAAACACTGGTTTTCCCTCTGAGTAAATTTAAAGCTTTGTAAGGATTTCTTTTAATGCACCAAAATAAACTTGAACTTTCATTCTATTTAAAAAGTTCCATGAGCTTTGGAAAGTATCCTTCAAAAGCTAGGGGAAACTGTTCAAATTCCCTATACCTTATATGTGTAAAATGAGCATTAAAATGCCCATTGGTGGGATTCATCAACAACCATTAACTCCTTTTCCTTTTGTTCTTCAAACTCTGAAATTTGATGTTGTATCAAACAGTGTCGGTTGAGGTGGATTGGGAGATTACTTTTAAGGGAGAGGCTGACTAGAAATCCCAGAGGTGATACCAGGCCAGGGAACCAGAAAGAACCAAGCTCACTGATCTCTTGAGCCTCGAGCTTTTTGAGGCCTGGAGAAGTGAGGAGCTGACACTTTTGCTTTCTATTTACGACTCCGTGGAAAAAGAAGTAAGAGTAGAGGGATAGAAAAAGATGGAATATGCCAAGGATGGCAGAAAGAATGAATGGCTAATGGGAGAGAGAAAGCGGAAAATAAACCTAAAACATAAGATTATATGATATTGCTATGGTTTAGATAACTTGTCCAAATCAACTTAGCATGTGTCTGCTTGACTCTAGTGACGTCGAACTGAACCAGAAGCACCACATTCGCTCGCTTGCACAGATGACAGGAGGGACCTGATCCCATTAGCCGAGATTGCAGCTGAGCAGTAACAAGTGCGTGGCCATTGACCGGCACTCGACTCTTTGAGCCAGCAGGGGGCGCATGAGCTCCAGGAACTCGCCCTCGGAGTCAGGGGGCGTGGCTTCTGCATCCTTGACAGACAGCTAAAGATGCTGGCGAAGATGAGGTAATACCCGTCGGAGTGAAGAGGGCCTGGGGGGTGTGGGCGCGTGTGTGCGCGCAGTTGTGAGTGTGTGAGTGCGTGCGCGGATCGGAGACACCGCACGTCTCCACGCCCGCGCTGCGGACACTGAGCACGCTGTATCAAAAGAAAAGGAAAATTCTGTTTCTGGGAGGGAGTCGTCAAAGTTGCAGCCGGGCAACAGCGACGGTCCCGGGACCGTGTCATGGCGGGTCCCTTCTCAGCATCAAGGGAATGGGGAAACCCCAGCGGGCGCGGGTTTGCATCAGCGCCCAGTTTGGGAGGGGCGATTTATTCTGGAAGCTAGTGAGCAGAGCCACAGGGAGGGGGAGCTCTCCCCGCGGCGGCGGCTGCAGTTCGTGCAGAGAAAGGGTGGGGAGGGAGGGAGAGGGGAGGAGAACAGAGCGTGCCATTCCGAGCGCGATAGTGCGGCGAGATCCCACCCCGGCGTCTGCAGAGCTCAAGGCGCAACTGGTGCGAGGGCTCGGTCCTTGCCTCGCTGTCAGCTC